TGAGCTAATCCCGCCACATAAAGCGATTTAGAAAATGAATAATATAAACAAATAAATTTTGAAACGTAATCGATAAACAGCATTGCAAACAACTTCATAGAAATTGTAAAATTCAAAAAAAAACTATGTGCTTTATGCTTCACATAATACATCCAAACTAATTAACCAATAAACCATATAATTAACCACATCAAAATCATTTTTGATACTAGGAATATAGCGTATCAATAAATATTTATATATTAGCATTAAATTATTAATAGGCTAAATTTATTGATAAAACTATAAATACAACTATAAATATAAAACTATAGTAGTGCATAGCATCGTGTCGGCAAATTGCTGAAATTTTCCCTACGAAAGATTAAAACTTTTAAAAATGATTTAAAATTTTTGGTAAATTTTGATAAAATTAAATTTTTGTCAATTTTGAAATTTAAAAAAAAAAGACTTTTTTCAGATTAGATTAGATCGCGCTGCGTAGATGTTTTCTAGAGGAAATATCGAGGCGCGTAAGCGTCGCGTCGCAGACATACCAATGAAAATTGTTACGGAACTCATAGAAATATATATATAAAAAAAATTCGTACTTATTATCAAAATCTACATGAAATATCTGGTAATTTGATGTGCATATGTCTAATGATCGCGTTTGACCGCCAAATGACATTTATTTTTATTTTTTTTTATCACCGAAACCGCTGGACCTAATTATTTTTGAATATTTTTTGAACCATCCAAATTCGACACTCGTTTATCTCAAAAATGAAATTACCATTTTTGGCACTTTTTGCTTGTATCTTCGAAACGGCTTGACCTGTCTTTGCCAAAAACTCCCCATCAATGCGAATCGAATGTTTTTTGAATTATGCAAATTGTTTGAAACGTAAAGATATGTAAAGATAAGAATATAATATTAATTAATACATATTAAATTTATTATATAATGACAAAATTACTATGTAGTAAATTAAATATGTAATGAATTTTAATTCAAGATTATGTAATTCGTTTAGACTTTGAAAAACCCTGAACAACGAACCCAATCAACACCATAACTGTCATTTCAACTCATTATTTGAAAATCGGCATTCGAATTCAACGGAAATCTACTCAAATCATAATACCATCCCGTCCTACTGTATAATGCGCGCTTAATCAATTACCCTTTCCCGTTGCGATGCTATGCCGTGATTACTTATATTGTGTTCACGAACAATATTTACAGTGAGCTCGCTATAACGCCGCTAATGTTTCGGTGAAAGAGCGCAAGGCGCATAGTAAAACGCATACAGGCAAAGGCCTTGTACTGTATTGGCATCGGTACCACTCACACAAGCGAGCGCGCAGAAGTCACAAATCGGTGGTATGTGGCTAGGGATGGACCTTATTGGATCAATATCGATTCTTGGGGATGATGTTCGAAATTTCAAAAATCGAACATGCCGCGACAATTACATAAAGATTTTCTCTTAAACAAATAGCAACGTCGGGTTCTAACCAAGCTTTTAGTAATAATTATCCTTGTCAAGAATTTGCACGTATACGAAGTAAGATAAAACCCGTTTGAAATATTTAGGTATGATATTAAATCAATACGTATATTAGCAATGTATAATAAAAAATCAAATTTGGTATAAAGTATGAAAAGTTCTAAACTACTGACCAATATCCCTAGTCTCATAAAACTATATGAAAACTAGCTGTAAGTGGAATTCTGTCTTGAGGTAATTATGGCATCGTGCCTTAAGGCAAATTGCTGGAACTTCCCGTACCGTAACAAAATGTTCGAGGAATACTGAATGTTTTCAAATAGATCATTATAAATATTGTAACATTGTCTAATATTTATAAGAATTGTATAAACTGAATTGTAGAGTTGAAATTATTTGTAAAGTATATTAGAACTATATTCAGAATTAAAAATAAAATCTGAAATATTTTCGATATACAAAAAACTAAAAAAAAAAAAAAAAAGTTGGAACAAAATTTTTTTTTCAAAATCTATTATTTTGTCAAGACAAGCAGAAAGTTCTTTGAATCATTTAAATCGGACGCTTAGTTCTCTCAAAAACTGCCATTTTTTACATATTTAGCTCCGTATCTTCGAAATGGCTGGGCCTGCCTTTGCCAAAAACTAATAAACACTTCTTCCTAAATCATTACTAATTGAATGTTTTTTTAGATCATTCAAATCGGATACTCCGTTCTCTCAAAAATTCGATTTCTATTTTCTGCACTCTTTGCTCCGTATCTCCGAAACGGCTGGACCTACCTTTGCCAAAAACTAATCAGCTCTTTGCCCTATCAATAGGAATCGAATGTTTTTTGAACCATTCAAATCGTTTGATCCGTGCGCCCTAAAACGTGACTGGAAATTTGTATCCATACATACATACACACACACACACACATCCATTTTTTCTGAGGTATGCCAAAACATTCAGAAACTTTCAAAACATCGAGAAATGAAAAAATTTTCAATTACGATTTTCGGCCCATTACAATAACTTACCCTACGAGAAGTTAATAAAATGCTTTGAATATTTTTTACAACTTATATTATATTGTTTTGCGTTCAATATTTATGTAACTATTGTCGATGTTTAATTAATATCGATACACATCTCACAACCCTAAGTTCAGTGGACCGGTTTCCTGAATACTCGCGCACTCATCACAGTCATCCATACAAAACGTGAGAAGATCATATCCCGAAAGAAACGAAACATAGATAGATCGGTTAAGCTCAGAGAGGCAAAAGGAGGGGATTTGTGAACACTGTGCGTTACAGTTACGACGCGATGGTGAGCATTGTTGAGCGTTGTCACTAACACAACTCACTCACTCTTTCACGCATTCCGAAATAGGCTAGGGCCAGATGCTGATGCAGAGTTAGGCCTTCTAAAAGGCTTAGTCGAAAATGTCAACATTAAACCAAGTAACAATTGCCTAAAAATTATATATTGTTTTTGTGGGCCTTACAGAGATTTTATGATCGACCGATATCTCCGTGAAAGAAATTATAAACATTTTATTTCATATAAAAATTTCATCTTGTGGAATTTGGGGCCTTTATATTATTTAAATAATGCAAAAGATAGAAAATCTTATTAAAATCTCACACAATAAAATAATTATGAATATGTTAACCCAACTCACATACTTGTGTTCTTAAATACATACAATTTTGTCATGTACCAAGCATTGTTAATAAAAATATTAGTATTTTTATAAATGCAGTACATGAATGAAAATACAAATCATAATAAAAACACACACACACACGCACACGCGGATATATATATACATATATAAATTGCGTATCCCGCTTCCCTCGTCATTTTACCCTGACCGTAATAAGCTCGCACACAGCTCAACATTGAGCAACTGACTTGGTTCACGCGCGATCCACTCGATCGCCAGACGGTGATCTGGCAATTATCGCATGCCACTCAACAGAAGCTCTAAGTTGCAGAAACAATCATATCGAAAGAATTTCGTCAAAATGTTTCTACAATGTTCATCATAACATAGATAATTCACATGCTTAGAATATTAGGTTATTAAGTGTTGTTCTCATGCTTTGTGCCATAAATGTTTAATTGGTATTATAAGAATATAAATGAACCAATATGAATAACAGCATTAAATCAATTTCATCGTATATGCTTCCATGCAAACCTAAAAAAAATTAATTAAAATTAAGAAAAATCTGTGTGAAAAACTATTTTTCTGTGTGATGAATTTTTGGCTTATATAAATCAATGTAAAATTTAACTAGTAGGATGGGTGGCATCGTGCCTTAAGGCAAATTGCTGGTACTTCCCGTACCGTAACGAAATGTTCGAGGAATATTGAATGTTTTCAAATAGATTATTAAAAATATTGTAACATTGTCTAATATTCATAAGAATTATATAAACTGAATTGCAGAGTTGAAATTATTTGTTTAAAGTATATTAGAACTATAGTTAGAATTAAAAATAAAATCTGAATTATTTTCGATATACAAAAAATTAAAAAAAAAAAAAAAATGGAACAAAATTATTTTTTTTCCAATATCAATTATTTTGTTAAGACAAGCAGAAAGTTCTTTGAATCAATTGAATCCGACGCTTAGTTCTTTCAAAAACTGCCATTTTTTGTACATTTAGCTCTGTATCTCCGAAATGGCAGGGCCTGCCTTTGCGAAAAACTAATAACCCCTTCTCCCAATCATTACTAAGATGCTCATTGAACGCTTGTTTATCAATAGTAATCGATAATCGATCAATTAGTGGCTAAATAAAAATGTTGATTCGCTTCTGTAAAAGTGAGGGAGCGAACATGATGAATACATCGTATGTTCTCGTTCACGCGTGACGGACTGCTCGCATAGACATCCACGGTACACACTGAAAGCGGTGGTAGTAGAGTATAGAGGCAATGAACCGTCCTCACTCATAGATCGCTCTGTTTCATTCGTGTATCATTGTCTCGTTTTAACAGTCACAACACAATCAATGCGCGCTGTGGATATCGGGATGCGCCGAGAGCGCCAAGAGCGCCGAGAGCGGCGTGTTCGAGCTTTCCGCAACCCCCGCTCTGCGGAATGTGAACTCGGTGTCGGCCGTTGCGGATCGGCACTAGGCGAGTACTCGGCTACGGCGCCCGCTACGCCGTAGCACGGGACGATCGAGCGAGAGACACGAAAGCCCGTGCTCCGTGCTCCGTGCTCCGATCCCGTGGCCCGCGTGCCACTTGACAACGTCGCAGAGCCGCAACAATCGCCGTCCTGTTCTCGCGCCGCACGACCGTCTCTTGTCTTGTTCGTTGTTCAATACAACGTAGTTTCGGGAGCGTTCCCTTGCGCCGCTCCGACTCGAACGCAGAACGATCGGCCGCTCGACAGTCGTTCGCGGACAGCGTATCGGTGTTGACCTGATATACGCGACAGCGTTTACGGATCACAGTTGTACAGCGTGCGCGTTTTGTATTTTGACGTAGATGACAGCCAGACAACAAATCGTCCTCGACTAATTACGCATCCGTGTGTCTTTATGTCCGTGTGCAAATGCTGGGATATACATCCTACAGGTGCGATTCATCATTGTCAATGGATTATGTGATTGTGTGAAGTTTTATTTATTTGGTTTAAATAAAAACCAAAATTTAAATTTTGTATTTTTTGAAAAAAAATGTGTGCTCTAAACCGCGGATATGGATTACGCTACTCGTTAAATTAAGATACGAGTTAGAAGTTAAACAAGAGTTTTCCTATTGTGACAAACCCAATAGGATACGACAAGCTAAACGGATAATACTGTGTACAAGTAAATTCCAATATTGTTATTAAATTATTTAGATGTCGTACGTGCATTGTACCATAGTTGGTAATTTTATTTTACGATTATTTTTGGCGAATACTGGACTATATGTGCTACTAGTAATATAGTGCCGGGTGTCTTGCCCCACGGCGTAGGCTCTCGAATTTGACGTGATGATGAGGTGATAAAACTAGTGTTATGCTTTTGTAGCAATTTTGCAACCCCCATTGTGTGTGGCCGCATGTGTTCGCAAACGTCAAATAGCACGTGCTAGGCTGAGCGCTACGAACTCCGCGGACTTGCAAACACGAATTTTTAACGTTGCACTAAATGCAGAACGCTTTTAAGTTCCTGAACACACCAGAAATGAGAGTTCACGAAATTTTATTAAAAATCATTTGGCAATGAATTTGTGATGATGGTGGTGCATAGTTTTTGAACGAGATTTTTTTTGAAAATGCTGGTAGTTTTTTAGATCTTTGTGTAAATTCGACATATAAAATACGACTAAATCGTATCGTGTTATTTTTTATATGTTTTTTATATGTATCAAAGTGAACTGTGATGTGAATTCATAATACATATCTAAAGTGATTTACAAATTGGCGTCAAAAGTATTCAGTTGTTTGATCTAAAAAACTACCAATGTTTAAAAAACATAGTTGTGAAATTTCTCTTAAATTTACTGTGGAAACACTTTTCGAGCAATAATATTAAATACTAAGTGAAATATTTCAAGTAATCGACATATTCAAAAAAAAATTTTTTATAATTCTTCATAAAATTAAATTATTTATTAATTTGTATTTCATATAGAAATGTATCTGACAAATTTACTAAAATTAGTGCAAGAAATGTTTTAAAACAAAAATTTTAAAATAAAATTTTTGCATATCAATTTATTTATTTTTTAGTTTTATTTATCGCGTTTTATAAGATAATGCAAAAAAATAATATTTGTGACAGTTTGAAACGTGTTTCCATATATTTGCCAACTTAAACACTCGTGAAATTCCCAATCCCAATTCTCAAAATACAACATTGGCCGGTGTAATAAACATCAGTATGACATGGCACGACCACCTAATTATAAATGCCAGCTATCGAATCGACTCTAGACACCGATCTAAATAAACGCGCTCACCTTAAAAGTGTTCAAACATTTCGAATCAACATACCGGACAAGAATAATATTTTCTTGAGACTTGTCTGATAGAAAACGAGCATGAATAAATTGTATTGTCATAAAAACATTTAAGCTTCTCACTGCCGGCTACTATAAAACCATTTACTTATTATTTATAAATGCTATTAGATATTATTATATTGCTTGAAACGGCCTGTCGTAGATTAGTACCGGGGGTTAATTGTTTAGCGGTTATATAGTTTTTTTTAATATTATTGATGTTGTGATAATATAAAGGGCACGTATTAATATTTAACAACAGTATAGTATACCATGTCAATTGTGCATGCAACATTGAAACAATGGTGTCAATTTACAATTTTGTATGAAATATTTTTAATTCATAAAATAATCATTATATCATATTTGATAAAACATGTGAGATTTTTTTTAGCTAACAATAAGTGAATATAAAAGTTCGATATTTATAATCAAAAAGTGAATATACAAGGTGTTTCTGATGAATAATTTTCATTAATAAATTATCTAAGATTTTATGCGATAGCATTGTGAAAGTTTATGTTCATAATATTGTGCCAAAAAAACGTATCTGACATTTAAATCAAGTGAATTTAATTGTGTTCAATAGATTAATTAATATAATTTATTTATATATTAATTTTCCCAAGCAATGTACAAAATAACTAAATTAATATCAGTGCAAAAACCTATAAAAAATATCGGTCTAATATATATAAATATATATATATTATAGTGAACAACCATCAATATTTTTCTTAAATGAGTTTTAAAATATAATAAATGTCATACTCAATCATATACTTGCAACTGCTAAGCAAATTGCTCCACCGTAAATGCGCTTCACGGAACGAAATCAGTGCGAAAAGCTGTTCAAACGTATTTTTAAAGCTACCTGCTAATAAGTTAAACTTCATTCAGTGGTGATAAATTTGTTATTGTAAACATCGTGGCTATCTAATGTGACCTTAATCTAGTTTTTACGAATATTTAAAAACAATATTTAAAAAAAAAAGCCAAATAAACTAAACATAAAATCTGTTTAAATATAAATAGTATAAACGTATAATTATTAATACAAGTATTAATAAATACTTGTAATCACTTATTCAATAAAGTTGAATTAAATTTCATTCAATGGGCAATTAAAATGCACTACTCAACAAAAATGTTAAAATTAAACATTAATTTAATTAATACAAAGTCAAGCACCTATAAAGTTAACACAGGTGATAAATTTAATAAAAATTAAAACTTTATTAATTATTCATTGTTATTCACGACAAGTTTTTAAAATTTTACACTTAAATTATTATAAATTATTAATGTCATAAATAAATAAATAAATGAAATAATAATATAAAATAATAAATAAATAATATATAAAAGCATTTTTTCCACTTATATTTTAAATAATAATTTTAAATTTTGCAAACTAAACTCTAAAGACTAGGTTTGTCTCATCCTCAGTGTAATATAAAATATAATATTTAAATTATGGATATAGAATACATGTTAACTCTTACATTATCTAATGTTTATTAGAGTAATAAACATTTAAATTATTGTAAATTATAATACACTGATGATGTTACGAATCTAGTCTCGAAACGTTTATAAAATTTAAAATTAATTAATAAATAAGTGCAAAGAGAGTGCTGTGTTCATAAAATTAATATATAACCACTCATAATACTATTGACATATATATTTTATATTTGATATATAATATATAATATAATAAAATATAATATATAATATATAAAATATTATAAAATATTATAATATATAATATAATATATATATAACATATAATAATATATTATAATATAATATATTATATTATGTAATATATAATATATAAAATATTATAAAATATTATAATATATAATATAATATATATAACATATAATAATATATTATAATATAATATATTATATTATGTAATATATAATATAATATAATATATAATATAGTATATTATAATATATAATATAATATATAATATAATATATAATATAAATATATATATATATATAATTTTATATGGGCCAATATAAATATTATTAGCTAGATTAAGTGTTTGATTCATCGAAATGAATAATCGTATGCGTAAACACTAAACAGTGAAATGCAATGCAAGCCCCCGAAACACCGCTGACAGTCAGGCATAAAACACAAACTCAAACATCGTTCTTGCTCTGTCTGCATTGTCTGTCGTCGCTAAATGTGAACATATCGTTCGGTCACCCTCTTTCACTGTTCGGTCGTGTGAAATCGTCTCGCTTCAATATATATACATATATATGTTTGTATGTAGATACATGAGCTTGTACATACATCTATAACAAATATATACATATATGTTCAATTTATACACGCTCGGATGTAATAATATATGTGTTTCATTTCGTCGATTCGCTCGCACTCATTCACGGCGTTAACTGTTCACAAACCGTTCCCGTTCAAACACAAACGAGTGTAATCGTGGACTAAAGCTGATATTAGACTTTAGACTCAGTCACTTATTCGATCTGTATGTTTGCGAATGGTTTTGATAAGGTATTGTTTCTTCGGACATTATACATTGATTGCAAGGTATTTTGTAATGGAAATTGTTAAGATTTATTTATTTATTCATTTATTATCTTCATGTTCCAAATTGGAAAAAACTTTTTTAATTTTCTTTTTTTTTTATTTCAATTATTTTCAATCATCTTCAATTCAAATTTAATTATTCTCACTTTATGGAATTATGTAAATAATTAATGCACATTTTGAATTATTATTAATATATATATTAGGGTGGTCCTTAAAATGGTTATTTTCGAATTTCCTTGCTCCCAGTGGCTCAAATGGTTCCAAATTGATAAAAAACAATTCTCTAAAAGTTTTATCTCTTAATATTAACGTTTAGACAGAGCGCAATCAATCAAACTTCGTATGGAAATAGCATGGAAAAAATTTTGAAAATCAAAAAGAAATATTTTATGTATAACTTAGCGACAAATGAATGAGTTGTATTCATTCATTTGTTCGCTAAATTACATCTAAAAAACATTTTTAAAATTTTTGAAAAATTTTCCATGCTGTTTCCATACAAAACTTTGATTGAATTGCGCTCTATCTAAACGTTAATATTAAGAGTTAAAACTTTCAGAGAATTGTTTTTTATCTATTTGGAACCATTTGAGCCCCTGGGAGCAAGGAATTTCAAAAATGACCATTTTAAGGACCACCCCAATATATATACATATATATATATATATATATATTATATATATATATATATATATATATTCTATGTGTATGTGTGAAAGATTTTAACTTATATAAAACAATTTCAAAACACTAGACTTCACTCCTTAGAGTGAACTTTAAATTTTTATTTTTTCTTCTATTCTAACTTGCTTCCTCTCTCTTTCATGTAGCAATAGCTTATAACATTTCATTGTATCTTGATTGCTATTTTTAAGGAAATAAAAAATCAATTATTCGATTTGACCTTTGCTATATTTTTATGCTCTTTCAAAGACTATACACCTACCTCCGCTTCACACGAAAAAAGGTGTATCTCGAAAAATTCACTCTTATAGGGAAAAACA